GGGGTTTCACCGTGTTAGCTAGGATGGTCTCGATCTCCTGACCTCGTGATCCACCCGTCTCGGCCTCCCAAAGTGCTGGGATTACGGGCTTGAGCCACCGCGCCCGGCCTGAGGAGCTTACATTCTAAAAGAAAAAATACAGCTCTTTTAAAATGGCATTTTTGTTTGGTATTTTCTGCAAAGCACCAAGGAAATATTTTGTAAAGTGAGCTTTGGGTATAACTTAGCCCCATCATTATTTAGAGAATAGAGGAAGAAGAAAGAGGAAGGATTTTAAAGGCAGACAATGACAGACCATTCAGGATAGGTAGGGTTTTAAAGGGAGATAAACACAATGTCATCAACTAAGGAGAGATTTGCTGCAGTAAATAGGATGAGGGAAATAGTCTGTGGGGTGCAAGCAAAGGAAGCAGGGTGTCGTAGACATTGAGTGGAGCCAGAAAGATCATGCGGCCTTTTTCCAAGTACGTGGCCACCAAGTAGGAATGGTTGGTGACAAGACAGAAGGCTAAAAAAGGAAGGTAATCTCATGCACCTGACAAATAGAAAGACTAAAGGATCAAAATCGAAAGCAGGCTCTAAGAGTATCAAGAAATTCTTAAAAACCCAAAAGTGATTTGGAAGCACAAAACTTATAGGTAATGCTATTGAGTCAGCCTCTTTCTACAGCCTTCTGTCACCCCAGGTCCTGCCCACCTCAGATCATGCTTGCATCCTGACTTTGGCCACAATCTTTCCCATCCAGAGACTGAGTTTCCTGCATCCGCAGAGAGCGGGTTTGGGACTTTTCTCCTAGGAGTCAAGGTAAGAGGCAGCCTCTTGTGACCTATGTCAAACATTTCTTCTGATTTCTGCGTGGTCATGGAGTTCCTCAGCCTTACTGTGCCACTTACAGACAGAAAGAAATCAAGAGATGTCACTATAGCAAGCCAGCAAGAGACCTTTGTCTCTGATGGTCCTTGATCGTACTTCTTGAGCTGCAGCAATGCAGCTGTGCATCCCAGTCTGGCCCCTCACCTTGTCCTCATGTATGGCCCTTTTTACATCTCCAACCCATTGCCTCTGCTGTTCCTTTCCAGCGATGCTCTTCTTGCTTCTCTGCCTGGCAAGCTCCTACTGGTCCTTAAAGTTCCAGTCTCAAAATCACCTCCTCTGAGAGGCCTTCCCTGACCGCACCCAGATGGAGATGCCTGCATCACCCAGGCACCCTACTGGGACTTTTGCTCATGCATCTATTTATAGCACTCACATGGAGTTTTGTGATTCCTGGGCTGTTTATCGGGCTCCTGACTAATCTACAAACTGCTTGTTTGCAAGGGCCCGTCTGAGTCATCTGGCTGCCAAGGAGGTTGGCACGGGATTGGAGTCGCTTCACCCTGGTCTGTGGATGCTTTCCTCCTTCCTTTTTTCATTCCTCAAATATTTATCAGGCACCTACTATGTACCTGGTTCTGGGCTGTGCATTGGGAACACAGCAGGGAATGAGGCGCAGATGGTCTGGAGGGAGAGCTGTGTTAAAAACTGAGTCAGTGACAAAGGCATCAGCAGCATGAGTGTTGTGCCTCCGTTTGGGGACCTGGGAAGGGAAGGTCCTCAAACTGATGGGAAGGCTTCTTAGGCGTGTTCATTTAGGAGGCAGTCTGAGGGATGAGAGGGAACCAGCCCCAGGGGGCTTGAGTGGAGGAATGTTCTGGGCAGAAGCAGGAAGCGTGAAGTTCCTGCGACAGGACCATCACTGGCACATTTGAGGGGCAACGCTAAGACCCTTGAACATCCCAAGGAGCAGAGTGCACAAGGCAGAGTGTCGGGGAGCAGAAGTCAAGGCTGTTGGCCAGTGCCTGAATCCAAAAAACTTGCTGGACCAGCCTTGCAGTTCTGGTAGAAAGGAAACTGCTACTGGATGCCCATTTTATGGATGGATAAGCACAGGTCACCAGGGATGATACGGCCAGGATGGAGGCAGTCCACAGTGTTTTTGAACTCACATTTCCTGGGCACTTAGTGAGTGCCAGGCCCTAGGCCAGGTATTCCCACTCCTGAACTCATGAAATGCTTTCAGAGACCTTCTTGTCCCCATGGGACAGGTAAACTGAGGCACAGAGCTGCTCAGTGACTTCTTTAAGGACATCCAGCTAGTAAGTGGAGGAATTGGTATTGGAACTCATACCTGTCTGAGCCCCAGACTCATGATTTTCCATCCCACTGCCTGTGAACAGGAGACGCAGGAAGAGAATGGTGATGGCTGCAAGGCTTCCCTCCTATCTCATGTGGCCCTCCCCACTCTGTGTGCATGGGGCCCTGCATCACCCCCACTTTACACCTGGGCAAGCAGAGGTCAGGCCCGGCCTCAAGCGTTTCTAGCAGGTGGTGGAATCTGCTTCCCTCACGTGAGGTCCCTGACAGGGTACACACTCATGTCTGCCTGGAGGCCAGGGGCTGACCCCTTGACCTTTGCCTGGTACATTTTGCCTTCACTAGCCCTGACTTTACATCCAGAGTCATCTGATCCCAGCGCCAGATTGGTCAGCGGTTCCTGAAATCCTCCAAGGTTCCGTGTGGGAGCAGAGAGAGGACTGGTCCATCCAGCCATTATACAGATGGGCAGACTGAGATCTTAGGAGGAGAGGAGAGAACCAAGGTCCAGGAGAGAGCCAGGATGGGGCCTCCGGGCTCGTGGGATAAAATGCACCGCATGCTGCCTCACTCCCTCTGAGACAGTTTCCCCCGGTGTAGAACAGGGGCAGCAACAACCAGCCACGACAACTCCTCGTGCTGCCTCGTCACCGGGCATCGCTGAGCTCACCACCAACCCCGCGCCCAGGCCCGGCGCCTGGAGCGCGGGCGCGGGCGGACGTTTGCTGGCGCCGGGCCCTCACTGCGTGTCAGCGAGCAGCACCGTCAGACGGCTGTCACCGCCGCCCGCTCACAGATGCGTAGACTGAGGCTCAGGTGTCACGACCTGACCAAGGCTAGTTCCGCTACAAAGTTGCCGACTCGGATCTGAACCCGGGTCAAATTTACAGAAAAGGAAACTGAAGCCCAGAGACACCAGGGAGCTTGCTGGGGTGAGGCAGCTGCAGGTTCAGAGAGCCAGGAGGCAGCCCAGCAGCGCACTTTTAACCCCCGCCCGCCTCGCCAGGCCCAGCCGTGCCACCTTTAGGGATCTCGGGTTTTTTCCAGACGACGCACCCGGGAGAACGCGCCCACGCATCGCACCCGCCGGGGCTGCGCGTGTGGGGGTGCTGGGCGGAGCCTGGCGCTTGCAAGGAGCAGCGGGCTCAGTGGGTCCCGGGAGTGGGTGGGGCTTGCGTGTTGACGGGCAGCGCGAGGGGCGCGGCTTTAGTCCAGTGGGCGGAGCCTGACCGGACTTGGGTTTTTCAGGCGGCTGGCGGACTTGACAGAGAGCGGGAGGGGCCCGGATCCTGGGCCCACGGAGGGTGGGGCGTGTAATTGACAGGCAGGGACAGACCGGCGTCTGATAGGCAGGGGACGGGCCTTGGAAACGAAAGGGCCAATCGGGCACGCAGGGGCGGGGCCTGAGTCAGCGCCGTTCGGCCGGGGTCCCCCCGGCGCTGCCCAGTCTGGCTCTGGCGCCGCCCGTCGCGGACTCGTCCTTGCAGTAGTCGCCGCCGCCGCCTCTGCTCCTCCGCCTGGCCCGGGCCGTCTGCCCGCAGCCATGAGCGTGCTCGGCCCCGGTGGAGCCCGCAGTCCTCTAGATTAGTCCCCACCGCCGTCCAGGACCCGCTTGCAGCATGGAGTCGCCCGCCTCAAGCCAGCCCGCCAGCATGCCCCAGTCCAAAGGTAGGCGCTCCTGGCCGGAACCTCGGCCTGACCCCGCGCCCAATCTGGGGCCGGGCTGCAAACCCCGACCAAATTTCTTTGGTCCCACCCCATCCTGTTCTCGACCTGGCAGCGGCGTCCGGTCCCGGAACCCCTTCCTGTTCGGGGCCCCGGGACCGGCTGCAGCCTGGGTCCTCACCTGGACCCCCAGGTTAGGCCTTGGGACTGCATTCAGGCCCGAGATCACCCAGGCTGGACCCAGACTAGGACTTTGTTCTGCTCACCCCATCCAAGTCAGGAGCCTCACTCTGACCTCATTTGGGCCTTATGGCTGTAGCCTGGACAGGAACTCTCTTAGTCTTCTCCCTCAGAGGGACCCAGGTGAGATTCACACTGGCCTCCATCTGCGTCCTTGAGCAGCACCCACTCCCATTTCCAACTTGGGGTCCCAGGGCTGTATCCAGGCTGGGATTTAACTTAAGTCTCCATCTGGGCCCCAGAGTGCTCCAGTTGTTTCGGACCTCACTGTACCCGCTATGCGGGTGCTCTGGCTACACCCCAGCTCGGAACTCCCCGTCCTTCTCTCCTCCAGCTCTTCTTATCCTTATAGGCCCTATGTTGCCCCTTCCCTGGCTGGCCTGCACCCTGTCCTGCAGCCCTGTGCTCCCAGGAACCTCCCTTGTCCTCCCACCCCTCCCTAAGGTACAGCCCCCTCTCTACTGGCTTCTCTCTGTCTTGAGTTGCAAGCTTCTCCCTGCACTTGAGGTTCTCACCCCATCTTATTCCTCTCCTGGCTGCCTGAGATCTGGGCCAACCGCCAGGCCAGGGTGCTGGCTGTGCAAGGGATTTGCTCTTCTCCAAGTAGCTGGCCTTCCTGGAAATTTTTGTGAGGTGGCAGCAGCAGGATTTGTCATGCGGAGGGGGAAGGATGAGACTCGGAGGGCAAAAGGGGAATTTTTTTTTCAGGAAGAGGAAAGGATGTTTTTGGTGCGTCGGAGTTTCAGTAGGCTGGGTTGTGTGAGAGATTTCCAAACCGGACATAGCCGTAATGAATGGGCTGCCCCCTGGCTCTCTGAACCTGCAGCTGCTTCACCCCAGCAAGCTCCCTGGTGTCTCTGGGCCTCAGTTTCCTTTTCTGTAAATTGGAAGTAATCACACCTGCTTCTGTGGACGCGGGAGTGTGGCGTGGGGTGGTGAATACGAAAGAGCTCTGAGGTGTTCACTCAGCATAGCGCCTGGCGGAGAGCCGGTGCTCACCAGGGGACACTGGCTGCACACATCTCGCTTTTGTTTCCATTCTTCTTGCTGGAAAGGCCTCCACTGCTGGAACTGCAGCCACAGAGTGAGCAGGAGGAAGCATCTAGCAGCGGGCACCTAGTGGGCCCCTCATCGGGGATCAGCCGCTCTTCTGCTCTGGAGGGCGCAGGCCAGTGGGAGCCCTGTGGGGGCTTGGGGAGGGCACGGGCTCTTCCTGGCCCCTGCTGCTGGCTGCTGTGGTGGCTGGAGCCGGGTGGGCAGGATAATTATGCCTTACATAAGTGGGAGGCCGGATCCCTGACCATTGCCCAACCACTGTGAGTAACTCAGGAGGCACTTGAGGGGGGAGGTGTCTGGGGAGGGACTTGCACTGCCCAGACCTCGTGGAGCTTGGGAACCAGGAAATCAGACACTTCTCCACTCTGGAGAGCCTGGGGAAGGGTAGGAAGCCCTGTTTGTTTTGGAGGCTTTTTAGCTCTCCAGGCAGAGAATGCCTCATCAAAATAAAAGTTCCAGTTGCAGAGTTGTGAAGGGAGAGGGGTCATAGATGTGGTGAGAACGCTGTGAGAGGGCCAAGATGAACTTCTAGATAGGGACCCAGGTCGCAGATGAAGTTGAGGGAGCTGAGTGGAGGGTCAGGGACCTCCCTCAGGCCCAGGGACCCTGTAGTCTCTTTGGGATCTGGGGAAGGATGTGGTGACAGAGCCGCAATGCCCTTCACCAAAAACCCTATGAGCTTCTTCTTTTTTTCCATGTGCCATGCATTTTCTCATTTATTCCTCATAGCCCCATTTACAGATAAGGAAACTGAGGCGTTAAGTGCCTTGCCTGAGGCCACACAGCTGTGACAGGCGGAGCTAGGGTTCCCCCTAGGACTGCGTCCCCACAGTGGCCTTCCCCGTGCTCCCTTATGTGCCCCTCCCATGGTGGATGCCTGAGCTGAGCTGGTGGGGTGCCCCTACCCCTGGCCTTGCTCAGAGCATGTGCAGTGGGCCTGTCCTCATGGCCATGTCAGACCTAGAGGACAGACTGAGGCAGAGGTGCTGCTGCTCTTGTGCACAGTGCTTTACACTGGGCCTGTTGCATACCCGCTGCAAAATCCCACTCATTTGACAGATGCAGAACTGAGCTTGGATGGAGTAGCCGGACTGCTCCCACAGGTGGAGATCCTCACCCCGTGCCTGCCCCATCCTGGGCACTGGGCCTCCCAGCACTGAGCCCTTCTCCACCTTCTCAAAGGAATTTGAACAAAGCAGGGAGTGGCTGGCACTTGACCTTACTGAAGCTTTACCTTTGAGCTTCCTGCCTTGCAGCAGGTACCCTGCCCTATCCTTCCTGCCATGGGCCTGGGGAGTTTTCCGTGAGCGTGTGAGGCCCTCAGGCCCACAGCTCTGCTGGTTTTCCCCTGGCCTTCTTGCCCACATGGCCGTCTCTGGCTGGGATCAGAGGCCAAGTGGCCGGCGCTGGGGCCAGTGGGTGGGGGCATGTGTGCAAGCCACATTTGTCCTTGGAGGGTACCATGTGTGTCCTGTTGTCATTCAGAACGTGGGTTCTGCCCCTTCTGCCCTAAGAGTGCCACCTGTGGGGGCACTTCATGGCTAATCTTCACACAGCTTGGACTGTGGCTGTAGGAATCCTGACTGCCCAATGGGGTCACTGAGGTTTCATGGAGCACTGTTGTATCCTAGCCCTGCCTATTGTGGCCATCCCCCATCCCCCGGCTGTCGGAAAGACTGGAGGTGGCACCTCGGGGACTTCCCCCACCCCTCTTGTGACGCACAGGAAACTCTCTGTCAGCCAACCCATGGCCCAGGGCCCAAAGGGAGCAAAGTTCTCAGTTGGCCTGTGTGAGGAGAAGGCCGGGGCAGCGGAGGCTTCCGGCGGTGAGTCAGCGGGCACTGAGTGCTGACTCACCCGCTGGGCATGCCAGCCGGCTGCCTACAGCTTAAAGGGGCGATGCCTGCTGGCCTGGTGGGTAGGGAGGGGGTTACATGTCCTGCAGGTGGCACCTAGCCCTGAGCTGGAGCACTGGAGGTGGCCCCTTCCTGCGCCTCGGACTAGGCTGGGAACCCCTGGGCAGGCCCTCTGTGCCCCACCCAGGAACTTCCTCTATTAGGCAAGGGGCTCTGCTTCCTCTTGCTCACAGAGCAGGAGCAGGTGGCAGTGACTGTTTACTACCCTTGGTCCAGGGGACACCTCAGGTTCAGCTGTGCATCTGGGACTCAGGGAGGGCGAGGAGCAGAGGTTGTGCAGGGTCGGCTGGGGTGGGACCCGACCTGAGCTCCTGGAAGATGGTGATGTGGAGAGGCTAGGACCTCAGTTTCCAGAGCCTGACTGCCTGGGTTCATACCCCAGCTCTGTCCCTTTTGCGATGTGACGTGGCACAAGTTGCATCTGGTCCATTCTCTGCACTCCGTAAAAGATTTCTGTCCCCTGGGCATGGCCCAACTCTCAGAGGAGAAGCCTCCATTTCATCATCCGCAGACTGGGAACGGGGACCCTGCCTGTCTGGATGTAGACAGTTCCATTCCACACTTGCTAAGTGTCAGGCACGAGTCATAGTGAGACTGCCCTCTGCCCACAGAGAACCCAGCTGAGGCACGCCTCTGCCAGGCAGGAAGCCTGGGGGCCTGGGCTCTGCTGGGAGGGGCCTGGGTTCGAATCCTGGCTCCACTACTTCCTTACCTGGGCAAGTCTTGTGCCCTCTCTAGCCCGCAGTCTCCTCTTCTGTAAAATGGGAGTAAACACCCTTCCTTGCAGGGTAGTGGTCGAGATTGAAGATAGCATTTGGCAAGTGAATGGCATCTGTTATTATTTTATTATTGTTACTTTTGTGAGTGTAGTTCGTTGGTAGGTGGATAAACAGTAACAGGGCTTCGTGACGATGGGCTCGTAGGCGCTGTGACGCAAGGCCTCTTGGCAGCAGGGTCATTTCATGCAGGCCAGAGTTTACCAGGCTTTAGGGCCTCTTAACCCACTGGTCCCCAAGGTGGGGCTGGGGACTGCCACTGGCCTCCTGGGCCTTCCTGGGGAGGGCAAGTGGGGAACAGAGAGCTGCCCTGCCCCTGGCTTTGGCATGCAGCATGAACAGGATGGATGCAGGGAAGGTGGGGTGGGGCCTGGAATCAGGATGCAGGCCCCTGGGCCAGCCTGGGAAGCAGGAGGGCCTGGGATTGTGGTTCTGGGGGCTCGATCCTGAGTCAGGGGTGTTGGTGGCTGGTGGGCCAAGCTGAAGGGAGCAACTGGGCGCAGGGTCATGATGCCGACGTCTTAGGAGGGGTCCCAGAGGAGGGCTGCTGGGCAGCAGCGTGGAGGACACTGCATCGTGGCAAGGCCCCACGACTGATGCCCACATGCCGCCCATGCCTGCCCTTGGCCGTGCCTCCTGGCGCTGCCCACCTCCGTCAGGCCTGTCTGCCCAGTGGCTTCTGCAGATGCCTCCCCAAAGCAGTGGCCCTGGAAACCTCAAACAGCCTCATGTCAAGGGCATGAAGGCCATACAGGGCCGGGGGAGGCAGAAGCAGCTTGCTGGGCCCCTTGCAGCTTCCAGATACCAAACTTGACTGCAGCAGCTCCAGAGAGGGCCCCAGGCGTTCTTCCCCTGACCCCAGTCCTGGGCGCATGTCCCTGTCACCTCCCTGCCCTGCATTCCAGGGCCACCCTCCCTGGTTTCTCTGGGGAGGCCATGTCCCGCTGACTGTCTCCCAGCTGGTCCCCTGCCCAGGGTGGCCGGCACCACCTCCTGCCATGCGGCCCATGGCCGGGATTGCACCTGGCTCTGCTGACGCCTCCTGGTGGCTGTATGGAGTGCCCTGACTGTCCTCGCCTGCATCACTGTGCTGATGCCCCCAGGGGCTTCCAAGGCCTGTCCCAAGGTTTGCATGTGCCAGTGTGTGCGGTGATGCGATGACAGGCCGGGGCCTGCCTCACTGGGGCAGGGCTGCGAAGGGCTGTGGATGCCAGCGGTGCATTCAGACCTAATCAGGAGGTGTGTGGTGGGTGGGGAGCACTGCTGCCTGGGAGGGTTGCTTTGGTGGTGTCAATTGGCAGCTGAGGCACACATGGGAGGCCTGCCCAGGACGGCTCTGGGTATGGGGATGGAGACAGCTTCCATCCTCTTGCCATTCTGCTCTCACCTGGCTTAGCCTTCTGGTCAACCCCATAGCCTCCTGCCATTGGCATGGCACACTGCATCCCGGATGGCTGGGGCAGTCCCCAGGGTGGTGTGGGCAGACACTCATTGGGCAAGTCTGCAGGGACTTCCAGGTGGCAGGGCTGGTTCTAGGCCAGCTCTGCCCTGACCCCTGTTGTGACCTTCCCCAGCCTTAGTGTCTGCTGAAGACAGGAGTGAATCACACCTACCTCTCAGGGCTGCTGTCGAGGGTGAGTGAGACCTGGCAAGTCCCGGGAGGCCCTAGGTGCTAGTCAGCGCTGAATTTGAAGCTGATGTCTGTGCTAGCATTTCCATCACCAAGATCCCCGTTTTTGATATCTCTCATCATCAACCCCATGCTTTGTAAGATTTTGATAGAAATGATAAATCCCAGCCTTTGGGAGGCCAAGGCAGGAGGATCATTTGAATTTGAGGGCAGGAGTCACAACACAGCTCTGGGCAGACAGGGAGAGCCTCATCCTCTACAAAAAACATGAAAAATTGCTTGGCATGGTGGCACACGTCTGTAGTCCCAAGGCTACTCAGGGAGGCAGAGGTGGGAGTGAATCATTTGTGCCTGGGAGGTTAAAGCTGCAGTGAGCGCCACTGGCACCTCCAGCCTGGGGTGACAGAGGGAGACCCGGTCCAGTAAAAAAAAAAAAAAAAAAAATAGCCGGCGCGGTGGCTCAACCTGTAATCCCAGAATTTGGGAGGCCGAGATGCCGGCGCATCAGGAGGCCTCAGGAGATCAAAGCACCATCCTGAGCTAACATCGGGAAAACCCCATCTCTTACTAAAAAACAAAAAACAAAAAAG